GCTCCCTTGGTCGGCAGATTTACATCATTTCACTTTTGCTATAGCACAATTTTAGTCGTATTTAAACAGATCAGGATCATCTTTGATGTTAAATTGCGATACAATTAAAAAGTAAATGCATGTTGTTCTAGTCTTTCATTATATAACTTATAAACTGTGCTGAAGCGCATGAAAAATCAACTTCTTTAACCGTAGGTTTCCGAGACCAAAATCTCTGTATTAAACTTATCGACATCCTTGTCATTATCTCCTAAACCAACGGTAATTGAACAAAACTTGTAAAGTTGACACAATAAAGAAATTTATTCAAATATCTCTATTTGAAGCCGATTTTCTGCTATCCAAACCGTGTCTGGGTTCAACCGCTGTTAGGTTTTTTTCTTATATAATTTTTAAATTATACTCAAAGAAGTCATATACAAGTACTCTCGATAGTTACTTAAGAAGTACGAGGTTTTTAGCTCGGGAAATCTTTTTAATAATGACAATAACTTGAAGTTATAAAGTGAGCATGCTTTATATTGTTGTTTTTTCAGTAGTCGTGATTCTTTTAATCACTTTTAGAGATCCACAAGTTAGATATTTTTTTAGCATATTGATTAAATCGCCGAGAATTTTTATTATCGTATTACAGCATAATCTGTATCATTACCACGAAATAATGGTATTCTATGTTCCTATTATAAACATCCTTTTAGGTATCGTTTTTGTGCTCACAAATCCACTCTTTTGTTTCATAACATAAAAAAATTATTGGGAACTTCTAACAATCCTTTATTGAAGCAATAAAAATCCAATATTTTTTTTACATATGCGCCAAGGAAAAGGATGTTAACATATAAATAAATACACGCGGAACCCTCGTATCGCATGATAATCTTATAAATGACCACTTTACCGCCATCGCCGACACTTTTACTGTCTTTCGCCGCTGCAGTGTTATGTCTGCACTTGTTTACATTACGAAACATAAAATAATATTTTATATTATTATAAACGCTCTAGTTAACGAAATCCGCTAACGCATGTGTGCAATATTTTTGTTAATTAGACATTTCTTTGTGGTAAATAAGCGAAACGTTGATTGTTATTACTTTGCATTACCGTAAGCTTCCACTGTCGGATCAACTGTAACATGCTGTCATCCTTCTCTACTTTAAAAATAAATAAATATAACAATATATATTGGTAAGGATGTTTCGGCAATGACAACCCATGGTCGTTTAAGAATATTTGCTGGACGAGAAAACGGAAGATCGTATATTGTAGAAGATATTAAATGAAGACCTATATCTAACAATGAATTGACATTCTGATGATTATGATGATTAAGGGGGAGAGAAATTTACTTTAACTAATATAAATTAAATGCGTGTCGTATTTTTGTAGTAAGTTATTAATGATGCGACATAACGAGTCATAAATTACTAGAATCTGGAACGGAAGTCCATAACCATATGCATATTATTTTATATGCATTCATATTAAAAGAATTTAAAGCTCGCTTTCCGATTCACAAAATACACTGATATAGTTTCACACCTTAAAGACGTTCCGCAAAGATATTCCAAAAGATTCCTTCACCACCCACGTAACATGACATAAGAATCTTGTGTAACGACTTACATATATTGCTTTAAAAATTCACTCGATATTATATGAGTGAAATGTTTATGTAGATTAAATTCGATTTGCAAAAGTTCGATGAAGAGTTTGCGATGAGCCATCTAGATATTTGACTTTCTTTTACTATTACATTTATAATCTATTTCTTATTAATTATTCATACTTTTTAATCGAAATTGGTTTTCAAATGTTATGCATTATTAATCTATTACATATCTCTTATAGAACTAAAAATAAATTTATTATATTATTAAATCAAATATTAATCGATCTATAGAAATTATTTATTGGTACGATTCAAATTTTCTATTCGTATAAATCACTATTTTAGAGTAACGTTAATTTTTTTAGGATCTATAAAATAAAGACATATTTTTGGTATACAGGATTGAATAAAACCTTTTGTTGTTTTTTTTTATAAAAATATTTATTTTACATAATTTTGATAATTATCGAATGTGTTTGCAATTTGTTCATAATATATTCATGTCGGGTCTGTTTGTATGTCTGTTTGAGCAATTTAAAAGACGGTAGCGCCGACCACTCCGGGAGCAATGAAGCGACCGCCCCAACCCAGACCGTTCACAACAGTCGGGCCAGCCACCACAGTCTGTAAGAGAAAGTTAATCCATTAATTTTTACAAAAGAGAACAATACTGCGACACCTATCATCATCAAAGGTCATCCCAAAAAATCCGAATACAAGATATCCTCATTTATCAGACAAAATAGTAAACGTAAAGTTTTTGATTACATAAATATGTGTACATTAGATTAACAACTTACCCTAGGGGCAAGAGGAGCAAATGGTGCCACAATGCCGGGCCAGGTGAGCAACTGAGGGGCAGCAGCAGCGAACGCCACGAAGCAAAGGACGAAGAAAATCTGCAAATAAGGTAACATTTTTATTGGTTCAGTATCGAGCTATTGTAGTTAATCAAATCTTGGGTACTCATTATGCGATGCAAGACGATTCTAATATCGTGTTTATTGGAATACTAGCTGCCGCCTACGACTACATCCGTGCGGACTATGTTCTTCATCTGTGGCAAATTTCATTTCGTTCTGGAGATACCTTCGAACCTTCGATCCATCCATTTTAGTAAGATGTCTTGTAATGATAACAAGAGCAAACTATAAAGATACAAATATTTATATACAAATGATGTAGAACATATAAATACGTACAGCGAATTTCATTTTGATGATGTGATTGAGGGTAGATCTCACTAGAACTGCTCGTAGGCCTTCTAAGTGCAAACTATGCCGCCCTACTGATGACAAGCTGTATATATACTGAGTCGGAAGGTCGCCTACTTACATTAGAGTACCTGATCCTCGGCCTAGGACCTCCTAAGGTCATATCTAACAATCTGAATATTTAATGAAAATACTTGTTGTTGAAAGAGAAAAAACATGAAGTTGACGTACGACAGCGACACCAGATAAGGTAAACAATAATAAATTATTAGCTCAACTAATCCAGTAGAGCCCGTTTTAAATATTTGTAGCTAGTAATGTACGCTGTATTTAACTTAAAATCCTAAGATGAGATTCATTTACATCAATAAATATTTTTTAGTACGAGTATATAATTAATTAATGTTTTAAGTGAGTGTTAAGCCCTCTCAGGAAGCAGCCATACGGAAAACTTAACCATGAACTTAGAATCATAGTTTCTTTCTATATTCTATCTACTTATTTTCTAGTTACGTAATATTTCCTAAAAATAGTAGTAGCATTAGCATATGCATTTTTCTAGATTATGTTCTATAGGAGTGCCAAATTTCAGCGAGATCCATGCAGCCGTGCTGAAGATACCTTTTAATAAACATCAGCCCATCGATTGTCCAAATCGAATGTCTGAATCCAAATTTCTTTGGAAATTCCTAAATCGTTTATTATTAGTCTTATAAGCAGAGAGCATTGGGCTTCCCCGCTTTTTCGAGTGAAACTCGTTAATCTACGAGTTTAATAGCACATATATTTTGGGTTTAGCAACATCGCTCTGTAGACATCTTTTTTCATAGATACAGGCTGCTAGTGTCCGATCTTCGCTCATAGAAAGGTATCAAACAGCTCTAGATAACTAGCAATTATTACTTTTAGAATAAATTGTAATATTTATGTACGTCAGTTGTCACAAACTAGAATATTATAAACTTGTCGCCTGCAACTTTGTTTGCGGGGTCGTGTTACATTTACATTGTCCAGTCTAAGCCGAACCCTCTTAATAGTTTAAAATCTATATCTTTACATTTTCCATGTACAGTCAACTACATAAATATATTTACATTAACAAAGCACCAGAAACTAATGTATACCTTTGGTTTAATAACCTTACACTTGTACGTAATTATGCTTCCTACTACGAATATATGCTATTTGCGGATGTGTGCATACATATTTATGAAACAGAGTAGACGTATCCATGAAGCTTTGTAAATATCTACACATTTATGCAGCTGACTGTACAGATCATTTTCATTTTAATTATTTGTATAAATATAGATTATTGCTTATTAAAATTATTCAAGAAATGCTTTGTTACAACCTTGCTCATACACATATCAGTACAAATATGCATTTTGCAATTTAAATTAAATGAAGTAATCTACAAATAAATTAAAATAATGTTAAAGCCTACCATTTAAGATAAGTTAGTCCTTTGTTTACTTACAATGAACTTTATGCAATTGCTCTGAACATTCCGTTATCGAGCTTTATTGAAATGTGGGCGTTTCTTACTTCGTAATGCCTAGTAATTTTTTTCAATTATATTATTTTATCTTCTTACTTTTATTACGTCATAGTAAAACATTGAAATACGTTCCGACCGTCAGTTTATTAACACGCACTAAGATTTCATTCGCACTGTGGATTCCCCTATGGTCTACTACGAGGACATAGGGAGAGATATGTGTGTATCTGTTTGTCACTTGATTCTAAAACTTCCTTTATAACAATGGAAAAGCTTAACTAGACTATTTATTATGATTATTATTTCTTAACATTATGATTTTTACTTTCTTATGCGGCGAACTTAAACATTCATTTTCGTGTGTATATAACAAAGTCGTCTTTTACTGGCACCAAAACCATTGTAAAGTATATAATTTTTATTTAATAATTAGCCTATACATTTATAAGTAATAAATTCTTACTTAATTTAGCCCATTTTGAGGGAAATTTTATTGGCAAGTAGATGTAATAAGGAGTAACTAGGGCTGCGTTTATTTTAGAAAAAATCTTTTAATTTAGTCAAATAAAATTATGTTGCAATTTTCGTGTACTGTCCAGTACCGCGCAGCTCAAAGACAGTATTTCACACGGAAGAAGTCGCGGGCACAGCTAGTAAAAAAAATATATGTGTGCAAAAATGTTTATTTAAAAAATTACAATCGGTGATAAATGACATTGATGATAATTTACAATGACGTAAATGGATCAAACATTTAACAGTTGTCGCACAAGAAGTCAGCGAACCCGGGCGCCACTAAACCTGCGCCGAAACCTGCAAGGCCTCGGTTGACAACAGTCGGCCCAGCGATCACAGTCTGAAAAAGAAATAGGTTATTTTTAATTCTTATTTTTTATTGTAAACATCTACTTCTGGTATCTATTGCATTTAACTCATACCTGAGAGGCCAGATTATCCACAAAGCCGTTGAAAGGGTAGATATACTGGGGAGCCGCAGCTGCCATGGCGATCAGGCACATAACGAAAACCACCTGCGATCATTCATAACCTATTAAAAGCTTAGAAAAAAACAACAAAATGACCTTTTTGGAGAGAAAGACCAAAGAGAGTATGGAATTTGGCGAGTGTGGAATTGCCTGTAAAAAGATATGCGTAGGAAGGGGTTAGATTCAGATATGACGGCTGATAGAGGTGTATGAAAGAGTAGTACATACTGTGACGACCCACAGTAGGGTTAAAGGCAGGTTGATGATGATGACTAGTTGTTCAAAAATAACATTTTAAAATGATTTTTATCTCATTTCGTTCTCGTAGCGAGAGACATTTATCGCAGAAAACATAAGTTAGTTATGTCTAGAAAGGTAATATATTAGCGAAGTTTATAATCATAAATTGTCATAAAAGCAATAAATACTTACGACGAATTTCATTGTGAAGATTGTAGTTAATAGTTCTATGTGAAACAGTTGGTGTAACTGGCTGAAGTAAACTATGTTATTTCAAGGAAGAGCTCACAATATATAGCAAGCGAGCAACTTAATTGTTAAAACTGGTACAATATTCCCTTTATAATGTCATACCTGTTCTAATTATGAATTAAAATAGTTGTTCCATATTGTATTACTAGTTACATTTGTTGTAATATGTTAATGAAAAACAAGACTGTCTACACATTTTCCATTTATAGGTTGTGGAAATTTGTATTAAGACAATATCCATAACATAATTTTAAAACTACTAAAACAAAACCCAACTCAGTAATCATATTCCCTGTTGAAGGATCTCCGACGGGTTCAAAAGTCCTAACATTTATTAGTATATAACTACACGTAAGTTTAGCCTTTTATTAGTGTGTCCATATTAATAGGTCAATCTTAATGATTCTTTGACATCGATTATATTTCACACTTCAC